CTATCAAATACTCCTTACCGGGATCTCATATCTTTTACTACCATCAGCTGGTGACCTTCCTCCGGACATGCTATTCTCCAAAACAACATCCTTTCCAGCACTCCTTAATATAAATTCTACTGCAGGGATAACTATTCCTATCTTGGCAATCTACTCTCATCTAATCTCACATGAGTATGCAAAATACCATCTTACTCCTTTTAAGTCATGGACTCCCATACTGTCTGCTGATGAAACTGCTGAAGATAAAATATTGTCGGGATACAGGAAAATCTCTTCACTTGTCCTCTGCGAAACGTGGCAGAAAACAATTCAAAATCATTCACAGAGCTTACTATCCTTTCTCAGTGAATCCAGCTGTCACTCCCCACCCTACATGTCCTTGGTGCGACCACACTCGACCTACTTTATTTCATCGCCTTTGGGAATGTGCTCGAGTTTCTACCTTCTGGGATCAAGTTCTTTGTTACATTAATCAATTATACGCCATCTCTCTCACCAAATATCCTATGCTCTGTCTCTTCAATTATCAAGACCCCACAATGTCAGCAAGTCCTAATGCTCTTCCTCAGTGGATCCATATTTGTTTATTGGTAGCTCGCAGAGCACTCATGCAAGCTTGGATACAGCCAAACATCCCACATCTGAAAACGGTGATAAAGGCATTAACTGCCCTATTTAATCTGGAGAAGCTGGACACCATTACTCAGAATTTTAAGTCTACACCTCGCTTTATCTCTAGATGGCGGCACTTCATGGAATACTCCTTTACTCCTGCGGAACTAGCCACTCATATGGAACCTTTTTGATATTCGGTTTGGTATCTCAAAGCTCAACTCACCAATACATTGGGTAAAGTACGATTGTCCAACTCCTCTTGTAGCCCCACCCCACAGCTATCTATTCCCCAGTCACACAATGGAGCCCATGCTCCTCCTTATGATTCTTAGCTCATACAACACTCTTTCTCAGTTGTCTTTTTGATAGAGATGTTCTTGTTCAGGCCTTCATAACCAAGCTTCCGTTCCTAGGGAATTGCTTAACTTTTGGAATTTGGCTTATGTTATACTGATTTGTTGTGTCATTGATGTCTATTTAGTCACTGCCTTTTGTTTGTATTACAGAAGTTGAACTGACTTCTGTACTCACCACACTAATGAAAAATGGTTTACAGATTTGTATGTCAAGATATTTTTGTACCAACTGTATAAAAGTCAATAAAAATTGTTTAAAAATAACTGTCTTAATTCTTCATGGCATAGATTCCAGCAGGTTTTGGAAACATTCCTCAGAGATGTTGGTCCATATTGACAGGAGCTATTGACAGGAGCTACTGTTGCCTTTCTATCATCTCGAATCAGTCTGCCCATTCTCCTCTGACCTTTAACATTAACAAGGAATTTTCATCCACACAACTGCCACTCACTAGATATTTTCTATTTTTGGGACCATTCTCTGTAAACCCTAGAGATGGTTGTGTGTGAAAATCCCAGTAGATCAGCAGTTTTTAAAATACTCAGACCAGCCCGTCTGGTACCAACATCCATGCCACATTCAAAGTCACTTAAATTCCCTTTCTTCCCAATTCTGATGCTCAGTTTGAACTTCAGCAAGTCATTTTCACCACATCTAGATGCCTATATGCATTGAGTTGCTGCCATGTGATTGGCTGTGATTAGCAATTTGTGTTACCAAGCAATTAAACAGGTGTACCTAATAAAGTGGCCAGTGAGTGTACATTGAGAAATTGGAAGAGTCTTCTTGTTGACCTTGCTAAAATACATTAGTGGAGGTCAAATAAATACTCACTGCATTGGGGAAATCCCTAGAAGTGGAGTCCCTAACTGTAATGTGCTACTTTTCTACTTCTCTTGCTGTTAAAATGAACCACTGATCTGTACGCTTGTACTTTGCACCATGTGAGATGTACATGGACTTTGTTTGGCAAGTTGCCACAAAAGGTTGTTTAAGTTGTGTACATTTTAAAACGCAAAACTCAATAAAAGCTGTTTTAAAAAAAAGAAGTGGAGTTCCTGGCACTTTGGTGGATACCATATTTTGAGTCGACATGTTTGCAATATATGAGAGTAGAAGAAAAACACACTTGATAAACTGGACATTTTGCTTCACTATACTTAAAGTGGAGATGTACTATTTATTCACATGGGAATTCTAAAGTGGTGCACATTGTGGAATATACATAACAAGGTTGATTTACTGAAGACAAATAGGCTGCTCACTTTTGCAAGGGAAGTTGCATTTTGCAAGAGAATATTCTCTTAGCTTAATGAATGTGTTGCAAATTTACTTTACCCAATAACATCCTAGGGAAAAATAAAAAAAAAACAAAACACTGTTTTTGTTTGCACATGATAGGAGGATGGAAAGCAGCAGTGTTTCACCTTATTCACTAAGCTAGGGGAAAATCCCCTTTCAAAGTGAGCAGCCTTTTTGCCTTTTGTAAATCAACCCCATTGTCTCTATGTTCTATACCAGTGTTTCTCAACCATTTTTCAGTCAAGGCACCCTTTAAAATTATAGAAGGTCCTGAGGCACCCTTTAAAATTATGGACAGTCTTGAGGCACCCCTAGACTGTCCATAATTTTAAAAGGGCACCCCATTCTAAAATGCGAAAAACTATTCTAATAGTTTTACATAACGCAGCAACATCCACACATGTAGGACACCCAACATTAGAGGTGATTTATTCTTCCAAATCAAATTCACTTTTGCACACTGGTACTGACTAGTATTCCAATGTTTCTCTCCTCCCTCCATCATTTTTCTCCATCTCTGAGCTAATGTGACCCCAGCACTGAATGAAAGGGTCAGGGGAGGGTCAAACCAGGATGCTGTAAAAGCAACCGACTTACTCCTTATCAACTAATGATGTCATTGGTTGTCAGGATGGCGGTGGCTAGAAGGTCGTAATGGTGCACAATGAAAATCTGTGCCTTTGTGTAACTAAAATGTAGGCTTGTTCCACCCACTGGCTTGTATACAAGTTTTCGGCAATTTTTAGACATATTGCTAAGGCACCCCTGAAGATACCTCAAGGCACCCCAGGTTGCCTGGGCACCCTAGTTGAGAAAGGCTGTTCTATACAACACAGATTGCCTCTTTTGTTCACTTAAGATTTTAGAGTGTTATTACAATTATTAATATTAGCACGGCATAATATCCATGTTTATTTGATGAGTTTGATGAATTAGTGATCAATACGTCAGGCCAAATTACAGATCAGTGAGTCACAGATCAGGGAGTTTCAGACAATTTTCCAATACTTTCTATAGCTTCACTGTTCATATATGTTACCAGTCACTGAACGGCTACTTTTCTATGGCAGCAAAACTTGATATTGTATTAACCTTCGTTTTTTATGAGCTGCAGGTAAATGTTTATGGTTGTTCAATTTTATTGGTATGTTTAACTAGTTACTAGGCCAATAGTGGGATGCTGCCAAATAGAAAAAAACAAAGAATCTACAAAGCTTTACCTGAAGATGTTCTCCATATATGCTGGCATATCAATCACAGAGCTTTTATCACTACCCAATCACATTCAAAGAAAAGTTTTTTTTAAAAATGTGTTTTTGCTTGCTGATTGGACCGTGGAAATCAGCCAAGCTTTACCTTATTCACTAAGCTATGTGAAAATTCCCTTGCAAAGTGAACATCCTATTTGTCTTTGGTAAATAAACCTTATTGTCTCTATTTTCTATCCAACACAGATTGCTTATACTGTTCACCTATGATTTTGGAGTGTTGTTACAAAAGCAGTTATTAATACTAGATCACATCTATGATCATTTAGAATTTGACAGCTTTTAATTTTTGGTGCAAGCTGCTTTTAATTTTTAGGTTTTAGCACATTGTTTTAGGGAGTGGGGAATGCCATTTCATACCTGTGTGATTTTCAGAACATTATGGAAGGGCATGTATTAAGGGCTTTAAGAAAGCTGCTTAAAGTTTGCCTTGTGAATGCAAGCTGTACATGTTGCTCTTCAGAGTAGTGTTCAACAGCTGAAGCCAAGTGATCTAGGCCTCAACCTGGTGGCATATGATACATTCAGGGGCGGACTGACCATTTGGAAACTTGGCCACTGCCTGAGGGCCCGGGGTCAGTAGGGGGCCCAATTTATTGCTTGCTGCACTTTTTTGCATGACTGAGGGACATGCAGAATATCGAGGCTAATACTTACCACCAAACCAATAAAACAACCACCCCCTCAACCTTCTCCCACCTGAAATAACCACGCGATTTATTTAACATTACATAACACTTACATAACACTTTATACAGTAAATCAAATAATAAGTGATAGTAATGATCCCAACTGAGTCCAAGGTCTTTGAAGGCACTGTTACTCACATCAACAACTCGGCTGTATCTGATACCCAATGATAAGGCCCCCAGCCACTACTACACCGCCTCAGGGAGAATACTATGTAGCCCCAGATACAGCCCATGAACTCCCACCTTACCAACGTAACCTTATAATTGGGAAGGAACACCCATACCTATGATGGGCCCAACCCATAATCTACCAAATTGTCACTCTAGCACCACCTTCAAAGACACAACAACCCTAAGCCAGCTGCCATGACAAAACAAAAACACCAGACAAACACCTCAGGACACAAAATGCCGATCAAGGAAAGAAAACAAAATCAAGGAACCCACACAAAACCAAACAACATGAAAAACACAAAGGACAAAACCAAAAACAAAAACAAACAAAACAGGAAAACAAAACAACGAAACAGGTCTAGGGAGGGAGAGCGGGAGAAACCACACCCATGCTGGCACAAGCTCCCACTGACACCCGACAAGTCCCAACCCCTCTCCTCATCCTGGAAAGGCAACCCTCAAGCTCGAATACTCCAATCAGGTGAGCAACCACCCCTACCTCCTGAATATACTCCCACCCAAATCCAATCTCCACCTTGTCTGCAAGCCCCAGTCATGATGGCCCTCCCCTTAGCTTCAATCAGTCCAGGCCATGACTGAACACGCACACCAGGGGCAGACTGACAACTCATGGGGCCCACGGGCAATAGGGGATCATGGGGCCCCTGTGTCCTCACCAACACCCAAAAAAGCCTATGAAAAAGCCAATGAAAGGTACCAGGGGCATCTCATGGGGCCCCCTACTGACTCTGGGCCCCTCGGGCAGTGCCCGAGTGTTCGAATGGTCAGTCCGCCCCTGCAGCACAGATTGTGCGCTGTGATTTGTGGTGCATTGCGGTGGTGCATTGTGGTGCCATTCAAAATGGATGGCATCACAATCCACATCAAGCTGCGTACAAAGTACATTAATGTGTGTTTATAAGCAAGCCCTAAAGGATATTATACAGAAACCATAAATTAAACTGCAACAAATGTGGCCAGCTTTAGAAAATCAGCCCAGTTATGGCAAAATCACAAATCAGTGAGACAATGATCAGAGAGTTTTAGATGCTTTTCTAAAACTTACTATATTTTCACTGTTCATATACAGAATGTTAGCAGTCACTGAACGGCTGCTTCAAAATGTGATATTGTATTAAAAGCTCTTTTTTATGAGCTGCAGCAGTAAATAAATGTTTATGGCTGTTTTTTCAGTTTTATCGTTATGTTTTACTAGGCAAATAGTGGGATGTCACCAAATAGAAAAATTCCAAGCATTTCCAAAGCTTTACCTGCAGATGTGCTCCATATACAGTCATGGCCGAAATTGTTGGCACCCTTGATATTTCTCCAGGAAATCATGTATTTCTCACGAAACGTATTGCATTAACACATGTTTTGCTATACACATGTTTATTCCCTTTGTGTGTATTGGGACAAAACAAAAAAAGGGAGGAAAGAAAGCAAATTCGACATAATGTCACACAAACCTCCAAAAATGGGCTGGACAAAAGTATTGGCACCCTTTCACAACTGCGGATAAATAAGAATGTTACAAGCATGTGATGCTCCTGTAAACTCACCTGGGGCAAGTAACAGGTGTGGGCAATATAGAAATCACACCTGAAAGCAGATAAAAAGGAGAGACGTTCACTTAACCTTTGCATTGTGTGTCTGTCTGTGCCACACTAAGCATGGACAACAGAAAGAGGAGACGAGAACTGTCTGAGGACCTGAGAACCAAAATTGTGGCAAAATATCAACAATCTCAAGGTTACAAGTCCATCTCCAGAGAACTAGATTTGCCTTTGTCCACAGTGCGCAACATTATCAAGAAGTTTGCAACCCATGGCACTGTAGCTAATCTCCCTGGTCGTGGACGGATGAGGAAAATTGATGAAAGATTGCAACGCAGAATAGTCCGGATGGTGGATAAGCAGCCCCAAACATGTTCCAAAGACATTCAAGCTGTCCTGCAGGCTCAGGGAGCATCAGTGTCAGCGCGAACTATCCGTCGACATTTAAATGAAATGAAACGCTATGGCAGGAGACCCAGGAGGACCCCACTGCTGACACAGAGACATAAAAAAGCAAGACTACAGTTTGCCAAAAATGTACTTGAGTAAGCCAAAAGCCTTCTGGGAAAACGTCTTGTGGACAGATGAGACCAAGATAGAGCTTTTCGGTAAAGCACATCATTCTACTGTTTACCGAAAACGGAATGAGGCCTACAAAGAACAAAACACAGTACCTACGGTAAAATATGGTGGAGGTTCAATGATGTTTTGGGGTTGTTTTGCTGCCTCTGGCACTGGGTGCCTTGACTGTGTGCAAGGCATCATGAAATCTGAGGATTACCAAAGGATTTTGGGTCGCACTGTAGGGCCCAGTGTCAGAAAGCTGGGTTTGCGTCCAAGATCCTGGGTCTTCCAGCAGGACAATGACCCCAAACATACGTCAAAAAGCACTCAGAAATGGATGGCAAAGAAGCGCTGGAGAGTTCTGAAGTGGCCAGCAATGAGCCCAGATCTAAATCCCATTGAACACCTGTGGAGAGATCTTAAAATTGCTGTTGGGAAAAGGTGTCCCTTCCAATAAGAGAGACCTGGAGCTGTTTGCAAAGGAAGAGTGGTCCAAAATTCCGGGTGAGAGGTGTCAGAAGCTTATTGATGGTTATAGGAAGCGACTGATTTCAGTTATGTTTTCCAAAGGGTGTGCAACCAAATATTAAGTTAAGGGTGCCAATACTTTTGTCCAGCCCATTTTTGGGGTTTTGTGTGACATTATGTCATATTTGCTTTTCTGCCTCTGTTTTATATTTGTTCCAATACATACAAAGGGAATAAACATGTGTATAGCAAAACATGTGTTAATGCAATACCTTTTTTGTGTGAAATACTTGATTTTCAGGAAAAATATCAAGGGTGCCAACAATTTCGGCCATGACTGTATGTTAGCATACCAATCACAGAATTTATCACTACTTTTCACGTCCACATTTTTGACTAATAAAGAGAAAACGTCAGGTTTCTGTGCTGGAATGTGGAACTTCATCTGACAGTTTCCCAAAAGATGAATGATAGTGTTTTTAAATAGCAACAGGGAAGACGTGCCGATGAAAACACTATTTCTTTCTTCCTTTTTCTCCCTCTATAAGAGCCTGCTCATATTTATCCGCATGTGCTCCTGGAAAGCTACATTTACATGCTGATTTTTAGATAACAATTACACTGCTGAATGTGGACTTTTTAGAAGGGCCTTTAACAATCAGTGCTGAGATGACATTTTTAGTCATTGTAATTAGCACTCCAACTAACCTAACCCAGCCCCAAGATGCAAACATTAATACACAGGCAAAATTGCTGCCCTACTTAAATAATTGAATTAGCAAAATGGTTGTTTCTCAGCAAATACTCAGGTTTATTTATTCATGTTTGTGGAAAGTATATTTTACTGCACAAAAATTCCCCAGCACGTTCTCTAGCTAGTCAGCACAAAAAATGTTAATGTCCCAACATATAGTTTATTATCGGAATTTGGTATATAGAGTTGCAAATACATGTAAAGCGACGTCAATGCACCTGTGTAAAGTGTGATCACAAACTCAAAGGTAAATTATTTGAGCTTGCAGCATACGGTATGCACAGGGCTGTCTTTTTTATTGATTTGACCCTGGGCAAACATTTTCTTGGGTCCCTCCACCCCCCTAGCCTGCTCACATGGAATTTCACTCTCAACTTGATCTAATACATACAATAAATATCAGCTTGACTCAAAATCAGTTTACTGCAGTAGATTAGGCAGCGATTGTGATTGCTTTCCAGGGGTTACAGCACATCATTACAGCTCGTTGACTGGTTGCTAGAGCTTACAACACATCATTTCTGCTTTTTGATTGGTTGCTAGCGGTTACTGCACATCAGTAGCCTCTCTGGCGGTATTCCCGAGTGAAGCTCGGGGTAAAGTTTCAGTACCACAAGCAGTAACCCCAAGCTACACTCGGGAATACCTTGCAAAATAGAGGTCCAAGAATGTCAGAACAGTACAGATATCCCCCAAATGACCCCTTTTTGCAAAGTAGACAGTCCGACATACTTTATAAGAGGCATGGCAAGTTTTTTGAAGTTGTATTTTTTTGTCATAATTTTTTGGAAAATTAAAAAATTAAAAAAATTAGTTTCACTATTTTTTCTTTTTTACATATTGTCACCAGTGCAGTACAGAGTCATCATATAACTGGCATGGCGGTGATCAGGGACACTGACTGGTGACAGTATGAAAAAAATATATATATATATTTTTTTTTTTATTTTGTTTATTATTTTTTATTACATTTTTTTTCTTTTTTTTAAGATTTTTTTTTCATATTTCACTATGACCAAAGTAGTACAATGTTACCATAGTAACATTGTACTACTTTGAGGAAGTGATAAGTATTTTTTTTTTTTTTACACAATTTGCTTATAGCAAAGAATTACTTTGCTATAAGCAAGCATTTACCTGAATGACATCGATTCATTCAGGGTTTTTTTTTTTTTTTGTGCTTAGCTGTGATTTGGCCACAGCTAATCACATGACATGTGCATGTGATTAGCTGTGACCATTCACAGCTAGACAGTAGTATACAATGGATGGCATGAATGAAGCCATCCATTGTATACAACGGCCCCGTTGCCGGTACCATGTGACCAATCACAGCAGGTCACATGGTATCGGCAATGGGGCTAATACTCAGATCTGTCATCTGTGCCTCGCACACGGCCAGTGACAGATCGCGCCGCTGCGCCGCTTTGCAGGAGCGCAATCTGCGCATGTGCGGGAGGACGCCATATAGCGTCCACCCGGAACGCTGATGACATTTGCCGCCCGCCGTTCAGCCATAGGGCGGGCGGCAAATGGTTAAAGCAGAACATCACTGTCTCAATCAACATCGACTATTTAACCTTTTTTTAAATTATTAGTTCTTCAGTTACTTCCTGGTTTACAGGCCTAGCCAAATGATGACTTCAGAAGGGGAGGAGGGTTTTTCTCAGCTAAGCACACCCTCCTGAATGCAAGCCTGAGCTAAGGGCAGATAGATTCCAAGAAGTAAATGGTACATGAATCATCTATCCTTACACAAGATGGCCACAGCCAGAAATGCTAGGCGGGGGGGGGGGGGGTGTTTTTCAAAGTGATTTCTCAGCAAAATAAAGCATGGAGATATGGATGGATGATTGAGTTTGCTTTGAATACTATAAATGAATTAAATATTGCTTTTGGTTTGTGGTGTTCAGATGCAGTGTAGTTCTGCTTTAAACTTTAACTGTGTCAGTAAAGAGACCTCACTATCACTAAGTGTCCTCAAAGGGAATCTCCATAAGAGGGACACAGACAGCAGTAAAAACTGTGGAGAGATGTAAAATCTCTCCAATGGCAATACGGCTACAATCACAGTTGTAGTACAGTGAGGAAGGTTTTTAGACAAGGGCAAGGTTTTCGTTGCTATCTGCACCTTCCTGTTCCAATGACAACTGCACTCTGCAAATGTGAGTGCCCTGAAGACTGAGCTTGAGCTCTGCATTCACTTTTGCAGCAGTTGTTTTCTTATTCCGGGTCACAATCCTACCTGTAGTCTTTTTGTCTCTTTCAGCCAGTTGACTATATTGACTGCGCTTATGCTGATCAGATGACGGTTTCCCGGAAACTGTACATACCATCAGAACCTTTGATACTGTACCACGACACAGCAAATAAAGTGCCAACTTTAGTCACACTAACACCAGTTAAGTGCCACCAACAATTTGCCCTCTTTGAAGCTCAGTAATCTCTGACATGACT